AGCAGGAGGGTTCAGTTACAGTTAACAGAAATGTATGAAGTCCATAAAAGCCAAATTCAGATCATGGGTATCTTTCTATGCATCCTCTCTGCTTCAGGGAGACTTAAACATGAGCACTGAGGGCTCTGGATGTAAGGCATGATTTTGGCATGAGCTCTTAATGGCTACAGTTTATTGAGTGATTTCATTAAAAACAAACAAACATCAAACCTAAAAAGCCTTTATACACTCAGTGCATCACCTCTATGTTAAGAAAGCAGTAAGTGGGTGTTTCCGTGAGAGATATGAAGGGCTACATCTCATGCCTGTGGGGAGGTACTTATTGCACCACAGTACATACCAAGCTGCAGTACATTTCAGCAGCATCAGGGGCATGGAAGAGAGCAGGGTGCACTTGTGAGCCCACAGCCCTTCTCTTGTCCCTGTGCAGGTGCTACAGTGAGAGGACACTCCTAACACATCGTGGTAGGGGTACTGAAACCGGCTTCAAACTAGAGGTGAACACTGGGTTTGTATGGTTCAGCTCCAAGCTGGCCCTTAGAGACTATGGCACTTTATCAAGTAGCAGCTGTATTGCTGACCCTCAGAATGAGGGCTGGTGTGTTAAAAGAAGCAATCCTACATTTCCCATCCAGGCCAACCTTCCATGCTGAGCGTAACCCTTTGTGACTCTGCTCCATAGTGTTGTATCACACAGTCAAGAACTTCACAGACAATTTTTGAGGTCCCTTCCAGCCTGGCATTCTATGATTCTGTGATATTGCCAGATATACAGAAGGGGTGGCTTCCTCCTGCCCTTTAAAGCTCTCACCTTTAGAGACAAATCTCTAAAGGTGTTGATGGAGACCTTTCCAAAGCTGCAGTCAACCACTCACCATGGACAATGCAATGGCCAAGTACAGCTGCAGCCCTCAGCCTGGCACAGAGAAGACAGCTCTGGTTTTGGATGAGCCATGTGAAATTCTACAAATGTCTTGATTTGCAGAAAGCTTGGAATGCTCATCCTGCCTTGAGTTTCAGCTTCCTCTTGAGCACTTGTTGAGTGCCGAAATTGGTGTGAAATTCACCCCTAGGAAAATATTCTACACCCTATTTAAGCAGGGCTGTTTATATTGTCTGGGCCTTTCCCTGCCTCAGTGGGTTTTGCATTTTTGAGGAATTATTTTGCCTCCACAGAGTACTTGTAAGTGCTCTTAAGAGTCACTCCGCCCTTCTGCATGCCATTTATTTTTTGGGGCTTGATTGTGCCTTCCATGTATTGCAAAGTCTTCCTTAGTCTAAATAAATTCAGCCGGGTCCTGCTCCTGTTTGAGTTTGGTTTGGTTTTTTTCAGTGGGGCAAGATTTGGACTCATCATCACTCAGAAATAGAGGATGTTTAAAGAAGAAAACCTTAGTCTTGCAATTAGCTGCTCACCCTATTTTGAACACAGGAGTTTTTTATGTTATGGATAAATATACATATAGCATATAGATGTACATGCCAGGCCATGACACAGAAGGCAGTTGTACTTCTAAAGCTGTGGGGCTTCAAAGATCAAAGGAATTTTAGGCTTAAAGCTCACCATTTTTGTTTATTTTATTTGCATTGCAGGTCAAACATGGCCTTACATGCCAGTTTGTCTGGCTTTTTTAAACTTTGTATGGAAAATCTTTGTACAATCAGCCCCTTTAAACTTTTTTCAGGTGTTTAAAATAAAAAGACTCGTGACTTTCAATCGGTGGCAAATATGGTTAAAATTACCTTTGCACCACAGCTGGGTGTGGTATCTTGTGTAGGTGCTGTGAATCTAGCAGAGGCATTATTTTTCAAATTGTTTGGGAAAGGTTTCGTGGTTTTAGTGAATAGGGACTATTTCTGCTCTTTTCACCTCTGGAGCCAAATGCCACAGTTGCACCGGAAGCCAAACTGCAATTAGTAAGATGAAATTTTGAGGTCCCTGAAGCTGGTGGCCAAACTCCAGTGCCTGGAAAGGAGCGGGGGTTTCAAGGTCAAGCCCAGCACCTCCATCCCTTGGAGGCAAATGTGTCTCACTCCTCACTCCAGAGGCAGCAAACGTCCAAGATGTAACACTTACAGTTCAGAAAAGCTTTCCCTCACCCAAACGTCATTTTGACCTGACCTGGACCTTGAACCCAAAGAGCCCTCAGCAAAAATTGCACACTTGGGGTGGAAAAGAGGAAATATTTCTCTGTCGACTCCATTTCTGTGGCTGTCTGAAACTAATTTAGAGGTTTAAAATATTGGAATAAAACCCCAGGGGAGATGTAGAAGTGAGCCAAAATTGTGAGGTGGTCAAAGGTTAATGGGGAATTTATCACGGCTTTGCTATCTGAGCATCACCTCTGCCTATATGGGGTATGTTGAGAGTGCCCAGGACTCCAAATTACCCAAAGTTGATGATTATTCGACTTAAAGGGCCCATTCCAGTTCTTGCAGATGCCAGTGGGAAAAAAATCCTTGCAACATCCATTGGGAAATCAATCAGACACATGGAGTCATTGCAAGACTTTTACACCTTTGTTCTGGCTGGCCTTTTGGCAGAGAAAGATGTGACAGGAGTTAATGGCCTGAGTATGAAGCCAGGCACATTTAAATGTGAAATGCACACATTTTGGAAGGAGCTATTGAAGGAAGGAGTAGACTCTGCACCTCTCAAAATCGTCCCAACAAGGCTGGGTGATCTGGGGATCAGGTATTTCGGTGGGATGCAAGATATCAGGCGTGTTGTAAGGATAAACAGATACACCCAGTCCAGGTGAGGTGATCCCTTCTGGTGCTAAAAAAATGTAGTTGAGCTTCAGAGAAAAGGAGGTGCAAGAGCAGGTCCCTGCATCCAGCTGCCTGGCTCTGGTGAGCGCTGCTGCTGCACACATTCACCACAGACCTTACAGCAACATTTGGCTCATGGGAGCCTGGCTCAGGCTGCACCCCAAGCTCTGCTTGCCTCCAGAACCTGAGGATGTGATCTCAGCGCTATCCAGCATATTACTACAGTAATGGTGTTGTTTAGATAAACTGGAGCTGTACAGGGACATTTACTGCATCTGTGAGAAACCATTGTAACATAGAATCCTACAATGGTTTGGGTGGGAAGAGACCTTAAAGGTCATCCAGTTCCAACCCCTCTGCATGGGCAAGGACACCTCCTACTAGATCAGTTTGCTCTAAGCCCCATTCAACCTGGTCTTGAACACTTCCAGGGATGGGGCAGCCACAGCCTCTCTGGGTAACCTGTGCCAGTGTCTCACCACTCTCAGAGAAGAATTTCCTCCTGTCTACTCTAAATTCCCCCTCTCCCAGTTTAAAGCCATTACTCCTTGTCCTGTCACTCCATGCCCTCCCCATTGGTGAAAAGTCCCTTCCCAGCTTTCCTGTACCCCCTTCAGGAACTGGAAGCTGCTCTAATGTCTCCCCAGAGCCTTCTTGTTTCCCAGCTCTGCAACCCCAACTTTCTCAGCCTGTCTTAATAGAGGTGCTTCAGCCCTGGACACAGTGCATT